GAGAGGGCGGTCGTTGAGTTTTTGTTGGTTGGGGGGGGGGGGGGGTGTAGAATTTAATTGCCATCTCTAAAGTTTTCACGAGTCCATTCAGAGTTGTGTCGTTAAGCACTGATACAGAACACTTTGTATTATAGTGCAAGCAAGGGGATAATGGCCAGAGTCCAAAACGGTGCAATCTGCAATTCTTTAGCAACAAAGACAGAAGACTGGAACAATGGCACAAGTACATTTATTTGTGCTTCCACAACGTTCTCATGGTCTGTTAAACCTCCTTCACAGAGGGGAGGCTCATTGATGACCAAGTCACATAACACAGAGGAAACGAATCAAATATACAACACAGCAAAGTTAAAGAAAAGATTAAATACTCAGGGGAACAGCTTCGGGACATTTACTTGTGTTAAGTATTTTTAAACCCCATTCACACAGAAAAGGCTTTTGATGCCAAAGAATTAAATATGTTACAAAGTTAAGGTTAAACACTGCTTTGCCGAGACAAGTGCAATACTAAAGGTAAATAACAAAACTGCACTGCTTAAAGATATCACTCTATAAGTAAAAACCCTTGGAATACCTTTAAGGTAAACCTGAATTGGGTTTAATAATGAAATAATTAAAACACAAAACAAGATTTAACACTTTATCACAAAAAAGGCAATGCTAAAGTGTGTTTATAATACTACTCTGCAATAAAACGGTTTAATACCACTTCAATAACTGTTTTAAATTAAGCCAATTGATATGAAATGATATGTGACACAGACAAAGCTAAATTATCCAAATTACTGCTGTACTTGATGGAAATAGAGCAAATTATGTTACCATTTCACAAACAATGATACAAAATTACCCTCCTTAAACTCACACATTTCAGAGATCAGGTGTGCGTACTGTATAGAGTGAGCCGTATGTTTTCTAATGGAGGAGTACTTTCATATCCTACCACACTGATATATATACAGTGGTATGAAAACGTTTGGGCACCCCTGATCATTTTCAAGGTTTTCCTTTATGGATCAATGGTTGTTCAGAACAGCAATTTCAATTAAATATATCATATAGCAAACAAACACAGTGATATTTAAGAAGTGAAATGAAGTTTATAGGATTTACAGAAAGTGTGCAATAATTACTTAAACAAAAGTAGTCAGTTGCATAATTTTGGGCACCCTTGTTGTTTTATTGATTTGAATACCTTTAGCACTAATTATTGGAACACAAAATTTGTTTGGTAAGCTCATTGACCCTTGACCTACATACACAGGTGAAGCCAATCATGAGAAAGGGTATTTAAGGTGGCCAGTTGCAAGTTGTTCTCCCCTTTGCATCTTCTCTGAAGACTGGCAACATGTGAGCCTCAAAACAACTGTCAAATGACCTGAAAACAAAGATTGTTCAACATCATGGTTTAGGGGAAGGATACAAAAAGCTAGCTCAGAGATTTCAGCTGTCAGTTTCCACTGTGAGGAA